AGGTGACAGACTTCTTAGACAATGTTCGAAAATCCTTCCGAAGTTCTAAGCTTGCCATGTAAGGAATCGGTCAACACTGGGACCTCCGTCTCCACGGCAAATCAACACATCCTCGGCAGAATAAATGTGGCTCGCCTTAATCCAGCACGACGTGATAAGAGACGGAGTCCAAAGGCTGCCGACTGACGAGATAACTCGGTCATCATGATGAACATTTCTGAATGGCTGGAGGGCTGAAAGTCAGACTGTCATGTTGGATTCCGTTGCAACCTGATCTGATCTGTAGTCAAAATGAGAGCGTGTGTGGCCCTATTTGATAGGTTGTCTAGCCTAACTAGTCACTGCGTCGGCGACCAAATCCGATCTTTTTGGCATTGTTTTGTCATTTGAGAAGAATGGGCGAGGGGAGATAGAGAGACCGGCAGATGCTACTAAAGTTGCCCCAACTCCAAATTTCTTTGCGCATACGTCACCCAGGAAGAGTCCTGTCATCGTGTGAATAACGAGCAGGTTGCCAATATAAGCGAAAATGCGAGGCCCAGGAAGAAATTAAGAGGAAGACGACTCGATCAATGGGATAATGCTTTTATTCGCCTAACGTTTCGATATCCATCGCGGATTTATTATCAGAGACATTTGTAGAAAACTGTAGCTGCGGTAGCGAAGGCGTAATTAGCAGGCTGATAAGGGAGGCAGGATAGTGTGAACCCCGAGGTTGCGTCTGTAGACGAGATCACTCATGATCTGGAAGACGACTGGATAGAAGGCGTAGGCCTGTTTGTATCACAGGTAGGAGGTCGGCAGACGCATACTTTTATTTTTTAGTTGTAGGGAAATGTAGGTATTTATTTTTGAACTCCCTATTTGTTGACACTCAATGTAGGTATATCAAAAAGTTGAAAATATAACATTAAATATGCGTGCGAATGTATCAAATCTGTGCATGTAAATGAACGAACTCTAGTGTTATTGACAGAAGCCGATATATGCACACTTTTTTCATGCGTAGAACAGCAGTTAGTTTGAGTACAAGGATGCGACAAGGAAACGAGTACATTCTAAAGTATCCGTGAGGGTTCAGGTGAAATTCAGTAAGCATAGGCGATAAACGGGAAACCGCAAATTATTCCATAAAATGTTACTGAAACATTTCATTCTCGGTGATTGGTCGGCATTCAAAGCCGTATTACATGGACTAATTACCGAATTCTGCCCTACCACAGTAACAAAAAGGCCCCGGTAGCTAATGCCCACACTTTAAAGAGAAGTCAGCCGCAAACGAAGGATGTACCAAACTTATCTCACAGAGAAGACCATCGAGTCGCACACCAAGTATAAAGCGCAGAGAAACAGGTTAAAGAGCCTGGTACAAAATAGCCGCTAAAACTTTGAGAGTAATCTAATAAACCGTGCAGTAGGAAACCCAAAGCTTTTCTACAGCTCCGTCATGCAATGCACTCGAAATGGGGACCCCATCCCTTTGTTAAAAACAGACGACACTGTGGAAATTTTCGAGGACAACGAAAAGGCGGAACATCTATCCTTTTTCTTTCAGACGGTCTTTACGAGAGAGGCCGAGTCAACCGCTGTCAACTTCAGTGTGGGTGAGATCCCGAACATCGACTCAGTTGCCCTCAAGGAAGCTACTGTTCTGCAAGAAATTCTACAGCTCAAAGAAACGAAGTCGACAGGTCCGAGTGGAATACCTGTAAAGCTGTTTAAAGAGCTAGCCGTAGAGCTAGCAGTACCCCTGTACTTACTCTTCCGAACTTCTCTTAATACAAGCCAAGTGCCACCCGATTGAAAGGCAACGTAGATCTCACTCAACCACAAAACTGGGAGTCGGGCGTTCGCAAATAACTACAGACCGGTCAGCCTCACCTCAATATTCTGCAAGCTCATAGTCAAACGCGAGCTGATGCAGTTTTTAGACCAACATTGACTTCTTTTTGACAAGCAGCACGGATTCCGCAGAGGAAGGTCCTGGTTGACCAATCTGCTCTATTGTCTAGAACAATGGACCCCAGCGCCTGATGAAGGGAATATGGTGCATACAGCCTTCGTAGACTTCAAGAAGGCATTTGAAACTGTGCCTCATCAACGTCTCTTATTCAAGTTTAACCGTACAGGGTTAAGGGGCAGACTTTTGCGGTGGATCGCAAACTTATTGACTGGTCGGTCTCAGACCGTATTTCTTGGTGAACAGCGGTCAGCGGAGGTAGCGATTGAGAGCGGGGTTCCCCAGGGTTCCGTTCTTGGCCCTATCCTCTTCCTTACATATATTGATGACTGCATAAGCGGGTTAGACTGCAAAATCGCAATGTTTCCTGATGACTTAAAATTTCGGAAGGTCATACGCAATGATAAATTAAATCTCCAGGCAAATCTTCATCGACATGAGCAATGGTCGAACCTCTGCCTCATGCCATTCCACGTGGCCAAATGCAACTTAATGCATTTCGGCAGAACCAGCACTGCGCGCTGGAAGGTGTATTGTCTAAATTACGTGCCGTTGTCAGAGGTAGAGGCTCAGGAGGATCTTGGAAAGTAGATCACGCCTTCACTAAAGCCATCGCTCCACTGCTTGATGGTGGCCAAATCTGCAATGTGCAACTTGTATCTAATCATGCGCGCCTTTGCTTAGTTCGATGAAACAGTCTTTGGCAAGGTCTTTGGCTTGTTTGTGCGACCCCAATTGGAATTTGCCATCCAAGCCTGCAGACCTTGGACAGTCAAGGACCGAAAAACCCTTGAGAGGGTCCAACGACGCACAACAAAATTAGTACGAGGCCAACGGAACCTCCCTTATGAGACCCACTTTGTAAATCTTTAATTGTTTCCTCTGGATTACAGACAGCTACGCGGCGACCTAATACAGGCATTTCATGTGCTGCGCGGTCAGGCTTGTTG